AAACACTAGAATCGGTATTAAAATGAAGATGTTAAATACTTATCTTGAAGCTATAAAGGGCGTCATTTTTAACTTTTAAGTAATATTCATGAATTAGTTTCGTTTATTTTCAATGTTTTAATTTAGTTGTAAAGAGCATTTAAAATAAAATGGAAAAGATAAAATAAGTTTTAATTGCAGTATTTAATTTTAATTGAATTTTTAGGATATGTACTCCAACTCAATAATTTGCAAAAAAGAAATAATTACGAAATGCCATTAAGTGGTATATAATTCCGAAGGTCGGCGGTAAACCGTATCAATAATAAAAAAACCTTTTACAATTTCTCTTTTTTTTGTTTGATTGGTAAACAGAGAAAAATCAAGGAAATTCGTAACAAGTTGAGAAGAAAATGATTGTATTTTTCAGGTTATTTGTTGAAGTAGGAGATATATTTTGGATATAACTTCTTAAAAAAAAAAAGGTAAATTTTGTCTTCCTATAACCTTGTTTTCCTTTTTATACCTAGAATTAAAAATTTATCATTCTTATCTACATATTCAACATTTGGAAGGTTTTTCTAGATCTAGACTAGATTATCGATTGATATTGAATTTAAGAATATAAAGAAATTATAGACGAGCTCTTAATATAGATTCACTTAATGTTTTTGGAAAACAGCTGGTAACAAAATATTCTCACATAATATTCTATGATATGAGTATCATTTCTTGTATTAAATATGTAACAAAATTATAAATGAAGTAATTTAAAAATTTTTGCATTTTAAAATTAAAAAAAATCTTTTTATGTCTTATAGTTGTGAACATAATTATCTTCTTTAAAAAGTGTTAATTTTAATTTATTTAGATAAATTTATAAAAAATAACAACAGATTTTTACGTTTTATTTTTAACGAGAACGAGTCTTGCGGAATTCGATTTATTAATTTATCAAAATAAATAAACACATTGCATCTAATAACAAAAGAAAAATGCAGAAGTAACTCTTTTAAAATTTGATTTGATTTTTTATTATCTTTGAAGTTACGAAAGGGGTACTAGCAACGGACCTTATGAGTTTGAGTCTCCGTCAATTGACGAAGACAAACACGAACTCTTGCATCCTAGTTTCCAGACTTCCCCATCACGTCAATGTGAGGACGATGGGCCTTAAGAGATTTAACATGTCTTTGTGTCTCTACACAATAGGTTCCTAAACTATTTTGTTTCATAGACCACTTGCCATGTTTTTTGATTTTGGGTAGACCCCCTACTTACAAAATAGTGAATTTATTCAAATTTATCAATTTAAATGTCATTTATTTTTACAGCTGGTATACAGCTACTTACTTTTAAAAGATTTAAATTTCTAATTGTAGTGAATATAGTGTTCAAAACTTAAGAAACGTATGTTAATTACATTAAAATTAAATTATTATACAAAAAAATAACTGCTAAATAAAACAACTTAGCAACAAGCAAATGCTTTTAATGGAAGGGATGAATCTAGCGCATCAATAACAAATTTTCGACATATATCATCAATCTTGTCAGGTGTAATCCTGAATCTTCTTGGTAAGTAGTGTTCAGTCTTTTATTTATTTTTTTATTCTACTGTGGTATTACCATGGACAAAGCATTCTCAAACCTAGTTTCCTAATCTAAATAAAGGGCATTTAAATGTTGAACGTAAATTAACGCGTCAATTTAATGACAGATTGCCCATGGTAAACTGGAAAACTGAAAAAATTCAAGACGTCCAATATTATACTTCTTTAGCTTAATTTTGGAAAGAAACACTAGACTGATGTTTCTTATTTTAAAACAGTTTATGCTCTCGTCTTGTAATTGCAAATAAATCTCTATAAATTTAGTAAAGAAATCTATTAAATAGGTAAAATCTGATTTTAACTTGATTAAATTTTCTTCTGAAATTAATTCACGGTCTGGTTTAATGAGAGACACTATCGCGTAGACCTCCACTTGTACTTCACGGACCCCAAATGTATTTTTCGCTGACGTAGACACTTTTCAGGTTTTCATAGACTGTTCGGGGTCGATATAGACCACTTTGGGAACCACTGCTCTACACGATGAGTCTTCAGTAGCACTAGGGGCGTCGGTAGCCTAGTGGCAATCGTCATGAACTCGTGGCTGTCATGTCATGAGTTTGACCCCTGGTGTCACACAGTGAGTGAGTGTATATTAACATTGACCTATAAATTGACCCCTGTAATTCGCACCAGGGTTAGTGGCGACTGACCTCGTCTTTTTGAAACATGGTCAAGTGAAAAGGACGACATCTGAGCTGGCCCCCCTTTTCCTAACTTCCACACCGCACCAACGAGAGGTTGTTTGAGCCTCGACATATTTAACGTGCTTAGGCCCTCTCTACATGGTGGGTCTTCAACGGTACTAGGCTCGAACTCATGACACGCCGACCATGAGTCCATGTCCTTGACCACTAGGCTACCATAGTCTCCTGGCCAATTAATAACAGTAAGATAATGTCTCGGGGCTAACCGCGAAAGTGGAACAACGACGAAATACACTAAACATTAGGAGACTATCAAACTCGATCTTTACTTTATATAGCATCTAATCTATTATCCGATTTAATCTAAAATTAATTTAATTTCAGAGATCAATCGTCACCTTAAATCTTTCTCCTAATAAGTATTTATTCACAATAATTCAATAATGATACTTTTCAATAACAATCTCACCGGATTTCTGGTTTATCTCCTCTCCTACTCTGCATCCTTTCAAGAAACCTTCGACTAAAAAAGTAAACTTAATTTGCGTATCCCGATTACTTTCTTCCGAAGGGTTGGTTGTGAATAACTCGATGGAAGGATCACGAATAGATCCGTCACAATCTTTCAAGGATCCAGATATTGAGCATCACAAACGTCTTACATAATCTTCATGTCAGCGATCCAACCTGTAACATCTTCCGACCACCACGACATACCGAAGGATCGGAGAAGCATAAAAGACAAAAACACAAACTGAGGAATTCCATTCCAACCCAATCGAATAAGAAAGGCTATTGATATGCGTTGTCAAAAAGTAGTCGAAAAAAAAAAGTTAATGTTATTTAAATGGAAAAATAACGAGATTTTGGGAGAACAAACCATAAAAAAGCATTTTAATCTATTACGAATGCAGATTTTGAATGCAGAACAGCATAAACGATTATAAAGCAGTTATAAATTTAGTTTTTCTTTTCTCTTAGCTGACACTAAAATGGTGAGCTGGTTGTTTTTCTTTACTTGACCTTGAGCAATGGAGCATTTTTAGCTCGAAACGTCAAAATTTATTTAGTTCCTCTGTCAGTGACATTGATGAATTCTGGAGTCCAATATTTATATTGAAATAAGTGGCATTTTAATATTGTAAAAAAAAACTATACGTTAACTATACGAAACAATTCATAAACCCACTAAAATTAAATTATAATTTTATAACCCTGTGGTATAATAATCTCCTGTGATTATAATGACTTTCTTTATTTGACAGATAATTTATTCAATGTTTTTTTAGACCATAAGAATTTAAGTATCTACTTAAAACCTTAATTTACGGGGGGCTTTTTTTTTTTGCTGCTATGGCATTTTACACAAAAAATCTTACTTAATATTTCAAATTTATACAAATGTGGTAAAAAGTACTTACCAAAATTTGAAACTACAAATTTTTTCTAATATTTTTTGAGGTATTTATTAAAATTTATTCATAAATATTTTATTCGCTGTAATGACATTTATCAGAATATTTAAAATGTTTTTTTTTTAAATTCGATTGAAGATCTGTGATTCAGTAATTTTTAAATTTCGTTTGACCATAACTCAAATTTAAATAAATTTATAAAACTTTCGTATAACATTTGTAGGAACCGTAGCAAGAGAAATAAATAAACAAAAGCTGCAATTTCCAAATGAGAAAACTGTACAGTGTAGAGTAAAAGCTATTGATAAAATCAACCCATTCGATTGAAATTGAATACAGAAGTACAATTATTTTGAATATTCTCCAACTTATTATCTATATGAAATGGCTGTTACAAGAGTTTCTCAATGAGGCAAAAAGTGACAATAATCCACTATCACTTTAATGAAAAAATGTATAATTTATTAATAAGATATTTTTCCCAAAATGTAAAATAAAATTCGTTTATTGTACTTTAACTATTTCTTTGTTGTGTCCAATTAATAGTTAGAAACTTTCTTTTTATAAAATATGTAATTTTATAATCATATATCTTTTAAATGTTAAAATATAAAATGTTTTTCTTACAAGTTTTAAATTATCATAAAAATGTTTTAAATGAGTCAATAGACAGTTTACAATTCCATTTTCTTCATTTGTCATTTTTTTGCTATTTTTTTAGAGTTCTATTTTTTAGAAGCCTTTTATTAACTTTTTTTATCATATCTGAAATTAAATAACAGCCTACAAATAATTAATTTACAAATAAATAGAACAAAAAATAGCATTTATTTCGAGCAAACATAATTTTATATGTGACTTAAGAACCATGTTCAAAATGAAAAGCAATATCGTCAGTTAATCTATCAATATTTCACAAAACAGTTCTTTTTTTTCTAGCCGTACAAAAATCATTGCAGCCATTTTTTTTTACTCCAACCTTATTTTAGAAATGAAGGCAAATTATTAGTCTTTCGAAGTATAAAAAAAAAATTTACAAATTCAAGTAAAACAAATAATACAAAAACGTTTTTTCAAGTCAATTCCTGCGAAGGTCAACAAAGAAAATTTTTATTTTTAGTTACTTTTTATTAAATAATTACAATTAATATAAATATATATATACATATAACAGAAAAACAATATTAAATGGCAAAATAGAAAGCGATTTTTCTTGTAATTTTTCATTTTCCTTTCAATATATATGGTGTTGGACAAAAAGTTTGTTACTATTTATTCATTAATTAAAATAAATTCTTCCAATAAAATAGTATAGTAGAATGAAATCACATACTGAGAAATTAGGTCATTCCGGTTGGGATTCGAACCCATGACTCCTGAATTAGAAGTCCAACGCGCTGTCCATTGCGCTACAGGAACACAAAAGATTTTCCTCTCTTTATATGCTGTTGGATTATTATTTTTGTTTGTTACTATTTAATCCTTAATAAAAATAATTAATGAATAATATTTGAAAAAAATGAAAAACATCTAGTGTCATCCATTATAAGTTTAATAAAATGTATTTGAACTTGAGTGAATGAATAAGAAGTGTTTTACTAACGATTGAAAATTTGAAGATATATATTTATATATACAGTGAGAGTGTGAACGAGAGAGAGAGAAAATATAGTAGGAATTGAAAAATAGTACCTGAACAAATAAAAATATAATTTTGAATATATAACTATTACTATTAATATTATAAAATATACTTTTTATTTATATATATTGATTAAAGTTAACATTTATTTAAAATTTATTGCACGGAAGAAAAGCTGAAGTTTGTCAAAGTTTAGATAAACTATTCCAAAGTGAGTGGTAGAGAATTCAATATGGAGCCTTGTTAGCATTTTGCTCTCGATAAGTGCCATTGGGGAAGTGAATAATTCACGGGCAGTTTGCTATGCATAATTCCGAGGCCATAAAGGGTGAAGGCACGTTTCAGAATAATGGATTTTGTACGATCGTGGTTTTCTTTATGACTCGCAAGGAAAATACATGCAACAATAAACGTTAGGCATTTTTTCCCTTTAGTACACTTCTTGTATTCCAATGGGTAATTAAATATTAATGAGTGTAATAAAATAATGAACTTCGATCATAAAAATGTATGAACAAAATGTTTTTTCTAATCATAATTTTAGCAAAGTTTAAACTTTACTACATGAAGTTTCGAAATAAAGATAAATTTGACAACTTGAATTGTTATAAATTAGTTTTTTAAGTTTATAATTTTATCCACAGTTTTTACAAAATAAGTTTTAATATTTAAGAGGGTTTTTTTTTTCAAAAAATCGTTTGATTTTTTAACACGCTTCTATTAGATTCACCTGTATGTAATGGAACCTTGGAACTCGATTTTTGCCCACATTAAAACTTCAGATTAATTCGAAATGTTGCACACTCCCTTGTAAAAGACCGATGACAAATGTATAATTAATAATTTTGTTCCATTGTCTTGATCAGGATCGTACAGATTAAAGATCTCCCATTTCCAGATTTGGTGACTAATTCCAGATCCCATTTCCAGATTTGGCGACTGATTCCAGATCCCATTTCCAGACTTGGTGACTAAAAGATTAAATTACAACCCTAAAGCGAAAAAACTCATGGTTAATACAAATACAACTAATAAAAAAGTGTTGTTTATATGAAAAAGGGAAGGGTGCGCCAGCAATTTCTTATAATAACATAAAAAAATTGCACAGAGTTTCTGACAATGGAAATAAAATAAATGATGGTTAAAAACACTAAAAAAAATCACGCTTTTATTTTAGATCGAACTAAAAAATGAAAAATATAAATTGTAGTTTAAAATAATTCAAAACTACGCTTTTATAGTATTTGAACTAAAAAGTAAAAAATATTTCTTAACATAAGAACAAAATGATTAACAAGAAATTTAATATAATTATGATAAAAGCGTGGGGTGCTCGATATCAATTGTTATGATTTGTTACTAGTGCTATTCCGAAATTCAGAAGTTAGTGTAAAAATATAGTTCAAAGCACATCTCACACATTGACCACATTTACAATGTGTTTTACCACATTGACGCTAATTTTATCTTTAATCATTTTATTCTAATACTAAGACTTATTTTTTTTCTTTTTAGTTCGACTAAAAAAACTATACAAGCGTGTTTTTTAGTTTTTTTTAAACTATAATTTTTTAAATATTTTAAGTAATTGCTTGAAAATTAGTTATATTAATCCAATTTTATGTATCACAATATTTAGGCTCCTGTCGCCATTTTGGTGACCACGGTAGCCAAGTGTTCATGGTCACGAGCTCGTGGCTGGCGTTGTGAAGCCACGGCATCGAAACCTAGTGCATTTGAAGGTCCTCCATGTAGAGAGGTTACACATTTAATCGTGGCTTAATGCCCTCCTTTTTGGTGTGGTACGGACCCACTATGTAGAAGGATTGCGGCACTTTAAATCTGTAAGGTTTTAAACTTTCTGCCGTTAGTGTGGTGTGGAAGCTAGAAGAGGGGGTTACAGCTCAGGTGTCGTCCTCGTCACTCGACCATGGTTCAAATTTACGAAGTTCGTTGCCAAAAGCTCCTATGAGCTTTTGACGAGGGCGAAGTTAGTATTCACTCACTCACTCATTTGGTGTGGTATGGATATAGGAGGAAGGGCTGCCAGCTTTGGTGTCATTACTTGAGCGTGGAGCAAAATTACGAGGTCCATTGGCAATGACCCTCATGTTTCTTCAAAGTACGACTCAAATTTAAATCAAAATAAAAAACTATAGTGGCCTTTTAGATTTCGTGAAAGTAATGTTAATCCGTTGAAATTTATACTTTTTTCTTCAAACCTACAGTTGTGTATCGGTTTGAGTTAAATAATTTGAACATGAAAGAGCAAAAAATGTTAAAAGCTTCTCTGGAATTGCTCTTTCTTCCGATTTCTGAAAATATTTTTATGTTTATTTTAATGATTCATTTAAAAAATTTTAGATTTTTATAAGAATATTGTTTGAAAATATTTACAGGTATCAGAAGAAAAATGTAGCTCCTGAGAAATCATTAACTTTTGCTCGTTCGAATGATCTTCGTTGCAATCATATGTGTGTGAATACAATAATATATTCTTGAGATGGAAAATAGAATTCTCATAAGGTTAAAATGGCGTTTACGAATTTAAAATAGCCGGTAGATTGGCATCTTAATATTACAGGAAGGAAGGTTATGCTTGGATGAAGAAAATATTCAAAGAAAACTAGTTAAAATTTTTTAACTTAAAAAAGAAAAAGCGTTATACAAATTAAAATTTTACGAGTTTACATTTATAAAGCTTTTTCAAAGTCTCGATCCTCTCGCAGCTGTACTCATAGGTGCAATCTTCGCGTGCAAAGATATTCAAATCGAGAGAACTTCTATTTTCGGGCATATTGATCCCAATAAAGACTTTTCGAGTTGATTGAGGCAAACTATTGCGTATTAAACGTGTTTTAGCCTCAAAGTTTTCATACATTTTGGAGTGGGAGTTAGGAAGTTTTAGTACCAAATTATTCATCGTTATCATTACTGACTATGCTTTATAGTTAACAGTTTCGTTACTAATTGATTTCGTGTAGTTTTTAATGCCATATTATAGTAAAACCAAACATTATGGTTTATTCTAAGAAATTTATGGTTGCTGCTCTTCGGATCAAAGTAGATTGCAAAAACTGTACGTTCTATTTTGATAAAGAAGTTAGAATAGAAAAGAAACAGCCTAGATGATGACTCTGATGTGTGACTGGAGTCCAAAATAATGAAGTATATAGTCATTTAAGATTAATTAGTTAGAGGATTAACCTGAATTTAATTTGACTTTTCACTCACGAACATCAAATAACTTGCTTGAATAAAATAAAAAATAAATTTAGAACGATATTTTAAAATTGAAACTATTCCATTCGGATCTTTAAACGCACGTGCCTGATTGAAAATAAAAGGATTCTAAAATAAAAACAAGTAATATAAAAAAAATTATATCAATTCCTACTTAGGTCAAGAAAGAAAAGTTTTACTTTAGTTACTTTATATTAAATAGATACAATTAATATAAATACGTATACACATATGCAGAATCACAATATTAAGTGACAAAGAAGAAAGCGATTTTCTTTGTAATTTTTTCCATTTTCTTTTCTACATATGGTGTTGGATTATTTTGTTTGTTTGTTACTATTCATTCATTCATTAAATTTAATTATTCGAATAAGGTAATATATAAGAAAGAAATCACATTCTCAGAAATAAGACTATCTCAGGTGGCATTCGAACCCACGAACTTAATTTAACGAAGTTAATTAAATTTAACTAATGAACTAATGTTTGAAAAAATTGTATTAACATCAAGTGTGATTCACTACAAGTTTTAAAAAATGTATTTGAACTTGAATGGATGAATATAAAGTATATATATTTCATTAACGATTGAAAATTTGAACAAGAAATATACGAGGGTTGGGGCAAAAGTCTTGACAACTATTTTTTTTCTTAAAGATACCAGTCCCGTTGGAAATGTGACATATACAAACGAAAGGACAAGATGTAAACTACATGTGTAGACAAAGCACTGAAATATGGTAACACACTAAATTATTACGGTAGTATACAGGACAATATGGGCTTGACTGTGCAAAAGAAGGACAACACAGTATACATAAAGTTGACGTGAGAAAGCTAGGCCTAAAGACCCTCAATGTAGTCCCCTGCTACTGTCACCACACGCTGCCAACGATGTGGAAGGCACTAAATATCATCAGCCACAGCATTTGCCTCACCATGTGTGAATCGGGTCACCTGTTGGCGCAGAGCATTAGTTATGTCCTCTCGTGTCGCAAACCGCCTACCACGTATTGGTTCCTTAATCTTAGGAATGAGATCAAAGTCACAGAGCGAATTTCTCCCTTGGCGAACGACTATTTTGTTGTAAGCGCACTGCTGAACACAAGTTTCCATCTCACACGACACTCACCAACTGATTGATTTCACAGCCCTCGCTGCGCTACTACCAGCTAGCACAGAACCATCTGTTGTTCTACATACACACTATGCCTGCAGAACTTCCACACGATACATAGAGTTTGTGATCCACTCACATATCTACAAGAAAAAAAATAGTTGCCATGACTTACGCCCCAACCCTTGTATATACGTATGTAGGGAGATTGTGAACTAATAGTAAGAATTGAATAAAAATTATAGTATGCTTAGAATTATATATATACACTCATGTCCATAAATTAAGGATAATGAAGTTCAGGCAAAGAAAGAGACAGAAGCAAAACAAATTTGACTTATTTGTAAAGTCTATTTATTAAACAAAAGGTAAAGAGCAAAAAAGATGCTATATGTTTGACATAATTAATAAAAAATG